TGGGGGCGCGGGGCGGGCGGGGAGCGGGCGGGAGCGGCGAGGCAGCCAGGTTGATTGGGTGTTTTCCCCAAACGCGTCCCCAGAGCGAAGCTGTCTCCTTGCCCCGCGGTGCCCCCAGCCCCCCGAGGCCTCCCTGTCCCCTGGGCTGGCCGAGCCACAGCACACACTGGCACAAGCAAGTGCGTTTGGGCACGAAGTGAAGTCCTGTGGGGCTGCCATCAACACCCGGTGCTGCTTTCCCCAGACAGCTGATGATCTCTTGGAACAGGCCTGCACCTCTGCCCGGGGGGAGCCCCCAGGCCGCCCCGCGGGCTCTGAGGCCGCAGCAGCCGGGGCATGGCTGCTCGAGACCAAAACGCAGCTGTGCCGCCAGCCCTGCTCTGTCCCCTGAGCAGCTTGAACCACCCTCAGGTCACCTTCAGATCTTCTCTTCCCTGAGGGAATGAGCGCAATTCACTTTGCCCTTCCTTGTCTTTGGCCCAGTATGGCCGGTCGTACCTCATGTGCTCTGAGGAGATCTAATGGCTGTGTGGTTTTGTCATCCCCTAGAGAGGTGTCACCGGGATGAAAATAACTTGCAATTAGAGCATTAATTCAGTCAGCGCTCCTGAGATAAACCCAGTTTGAACACACGGTTATTAAGTAGGAATTTGGGACAAAGAACAAAGAAAAGGTTATGTCCTTACTTAACATCGCAGCCAACTCTTGTCCTTTCTGTAGGGTAACCCCCCTGCATGTTGCCCAGTTGGGCCCGTGATGGGCCTCAAGTGGGGGAATTCAACATTATTGTAATTCACGGGCGTAACCACGGTTTAGTGAAAAAGATCATGAATTTGAGGGTGAAGGTTTGCGCTCGCACCGTGGGTACGTGCCGGTCAGAAGCAGCAGCCCGTGCCGGGCAAGATGTGCTCTCAGACAATGCATTATTTTAATTCTACTTTACACTTCGGCGCCTTCTCAGCGAACGTGGAGTTTCCAACTGCCGCGGGGCCGCGCTCGCTGTGGCTCCCTG